GACTGCGTAAGACTCGGCATTGGTAATGTCTTATACTCTGGATCACAGTTCCATATATATATATATATTTTTTTTCTCTCTCTCTCTCTTTCTTATTTTCCACCCAAAGTTTCTGGTTGTTTGGTCCTTGAATTACTTACTGCAGAGTATTCTGATTAAAGTATTTTTTCGTGTGTACAACTCACAATGAACGTGGCCTGAAACGCAATGCTGAGTGTTGAAATTTGCAATTGATACTGTGTGTAACTATTCCCTGAGTTCATTCATTAATCTCATATATTTATTCCATGCATGTGAACTATATCAGTTATTATAGCTGTATTTTTCTTCTCGATGTTCTTATCGTCTGAACGATGGGTGTTGTATTAACAAACAATCGAATTTCCGCAGTCCAAAGGTGTTCTCCGTTTTATATGATAGTGTTACATGTGGTTTTACTGTGTTCTTTATTAGAACAGGCTTGTTTCATCTGCTTTGAACAAGAATAATAGCATGACAAGTAACGTAACAGGCTATAAGCATATGCTCATGATTTATATATGAATAATTTATAATTTGAAGTAAGAACACGCCCGTCAGTTTGTGTATTTATAGGTAAGAGATTTGCGAGTGTTGCGTCCAGTAATATGTGTAACGTTAGCTTCGTGGCCACACCCTTCACTTGTACATAATAGATGGCGCAGATTGAGAGCTGGTAAGGCTTGTTCTTTCTTCAAACTAAACGTAACATTTTATCCGCAGAGAGGACCTCTACATATGAGCATGTTCTTTATGCTTTACAGTTGGTAACACCTTTAGGTCAGTAATGTTGGTGTACATAGTCTAGTTGTGTTTGCAGTACCTCATAACTTTGTGAATTAAGATTTTCTTAAGTATGGGGTGTTGATGGGCCTCGTCCCACAGAAATTGAGAGCGTAAGTCCTTATGTGGTGTCTGAATACCTGGTTTTTATGTTAATTTCTTTATATATATAATGGGTATTTACTTGTATCAGGTAACAAACTAGTGTTGTTATGGGACTTGATTATTCTTTAAATATTTACTGCCTAGGGTTGAGTATTATTTTTATTTTTAAAATATTATTGTGGTATAATATGAAACATATTTTTCAGTTACCAGCATGATAAGTGTTCTCTGTGGTTTGCAAGCTCTTGAATTTGTATTGTAATTTGTCAGTTGATCCGCATCTTTGCAACCCACTTGAACCAGGGGTGTCTGCCCATAAAGTCTGTCTGGCTCCAGCTGACATTTGTATTGTTTCGTCTTATTCTTTTTCATGATTTATCTTGTTGCAGAACTGTCCCTACACCATTTTTGTCTTTCGTACTTTGAAGCGGGCGTTTTCATTGCAGAATTTGCAAATTAAAATTAGTATTGTCAGCTAAATTTTCCTCTGTGTCTGGAACAGTTCTACTGATGCCATCTAGTTGCGGATAAAGTCGGCCTAAAATTAATGAGGGCGATGTTGAATGTGCATTCTGCATGTTTGGACACCCCTGGAGTATAAATTTTACTGGTGTTTGGATGTTATTTAAATGAGCCCTCATACTTCATTGTTGCAGTTCAAACAAAACACGTAACGCTAACCTGTGAAGTCAAATTAAGAAACTGTTTGATATATAAAATGTGTATGTATATATTGGAGTGAATGTGTGGTTTGTATCTTAAAATTTATTACAGCTGAGTAGTGAAATTGTTTGGTTCGTCGTCATTTCTGTTGCATTTGTAGTTTGTGTCTTGGCATCACCTTCTATGTCCGCGTCTTGAACGGAACATCGGGTTGAAGTTGACAAACTGCTGATGCATATCTGAGTTAAATAAGACGTAGATTTTGGCTCTTGTGATCGAAGCTGTAATTTGAGTGAATGGCCACAAATTTATACATAGATAAATGGTATGCAAGGAATGTTTTCTGTGCCAATTTTAAGGTGTAAGTATCTAGTTTTCTACCGACAATGTAACAATATTTAGCGGACAATCTTTGAATTTGTCACCGCAAATTTTCTCAGAACTTAAGAAAGAGAACTTTGAAAATTTTGTGAAATAAAAAATCACGTATTAATATTCAAATCTGTAATCTAAATGTTTGTGTAATGAGAAACATATCAATTTTAATGAACTGAAATGTGCATTTGAGGCAGTCGCTGTTTGTGGGCGAACATAATGTTCGTTGCTCTGACCTAAAGCATAAATATTGCATCCAACATTGTTTATTGTGTTTGATGGAATACTTATTAGCTTTTTGTGGAGGTAACTGCTCCCATTTGTCTCTAAGTGGATTTGCTGTTTGATTAAGGTGCTTTGTTGCTCTTTGTGGACATTGGATGTTAACCTTGGTGAATCTCTTAATCTGCTTTACCTTTTTTTATATCGTAAACACAGATATATTTTGCACCAAATTAACTTTCTTCTTCTGAGGATGCGAATATGGCTTAAAGAAGATAATTTAGGTTTCGTGTTTTATGAATAATCAGATCTGATTGTTTAGAATTAATGGGGTGACACCATTGTGCACAATTTTCAGGCTGGCCGCAGAGCTTAATGTGAAATGCCGGTACATAAAATTATGTAAGTTCGTATGTCGGACGTGAAGGCGAGTTACGTGACAGTGGACATTGCTAAATACATATGATTTTACCACGCATTGTGTTGCATAGCTCACCCCAAGTTTATATACAGATAACTTTTGGTTTAAGCGCGGGACCTCGTTTTTGTCTGAACTGTACGCGTGAGATTTCAGGTTCCTCAGCAGTGAGGATGAACATGACTGTCTCTGGGGTTGTTGTACCACGTAGTCTGGTTGACTACGTGGTGCTACAGCAGAAGATGGCCGTCTTTATACTCACCACCGCGAAAACCTCAAGTTCTACGTGTGTTTACAAGACCGATTTTTAACACAAATATTGATACTGCGTAGTTCGAGCTACTGACTGCATTGTTAAACAGACACTTCCAGTGTAGAACCATCGGCACTAGCTGATCCTTCATTGTTTCTGATAACGCACTGCTGACTAATGGCAGTGTATGCAAACATGTTCTGTTTGAGGAACTCTCGGTTATTTTTGGACATTGAACATTGAACATTGAACACTGGTGTGCTAAAAATCTGACAAAATCAAAAACAGTTGTTTATCTGATTATATGCACAAATGTTCAGATCAGTGCTCCCC